CTTGTGCTTTGCCGAAGAAAGTCCAGCCAGAATGGATGATGGCTAGTTCTTCAAGTCGTAAGTGAAATATGGACATATGGCTAGCGCTATTAGCGCCATGGGAACTATAGGAGAGACTTTTTCGGGCCCCCTTTTGCAGACTTTAAAATAGTTGAAAAATAGTGTGCAGTTAGGGGATGAGCTTTTTTCCTTTAAGAGTCTATAATTATCAAATAAAGTATCGTGTAGTTAGACAATGCGTTTTTTTTGTTTGATTTTCTTTTCGTTCATAATAATGCTCTCAGTTATGTTTAAGCTGTATCAGTTGCGACTAGATGATGTTATTGGAATGATGCTGATGAATTTCCTTTTTCTACCTTTCCCTCACTCCCTCCCCCCCTTTGGAGTTTTTTTTTTTTTTTGGAGGTTAATCTTATTGGAAGGTCTAGGGCGTGGAGCAGTTAGTCCAATCTTCACTTTAATCACAGTTACTGATGGTTATAAGAGGGATGAATGGAGGGAAGGGGAGGGGAGAGGTGAGGGGGGGAGTGATGGGAAAGGGAAGAAGGAGATAGGGGAGAAAATAACGTTATATTTCAGTAGGCTATAAGGCCATAAAGATGCAAGCTAATTTAGTTTATAAGCTCTAGAGCGTTGGGCTGTTTATTACAGCTTTAGCATCTAGATTATCATATTCATCATTAAACCTGCAAGTAGGTTATTATAATGAAGACATTTTACAGAATTCTACAATTTATTACGAAGGTTAAGGTTGGTTTAAAGCATATGAGTAGATCTTTCTATACGTCCCCCACGGTTTATGGGGGGACCCATTATTTGGGTCTTTTCATCAGCCAATTATGTACCCTTTTTAAAGAGTTTATGTAAATATTTTATTTTGACCATTGTGTTTCTATTTTTATTTTTGTTTACGTTTATGTGTATTTTATGTATAAATACGAAACAATGTATAATAATCACTACTGTTTGGCTCAACTAAAGATTTATTGGTGCTACATAGAGACTTGAGAGTCAGGTTAATGATGAGTTATCAATAAATTTTAAAGAGGCATCCTTAACATTATAAGAGGGTTTAAATCCTGATGTCACCATCATAGCAACTCAAACTAACGGACCCGGCCAGTCAAAGCAAGAGAGACCGGGGTCGGCTAACACATGACAGCGACGAGCAGACCGCGATATTCCCCCTTTCGGATATCACGCTGGATGCAGAGGCTTCAGATCAGCTGTTACAGTTACAAAGTAACAAGTTACAAGGTATTTAATAGTGAGAAGATACACAGTATATGGATGTATGTGTTAGCAATAATGGCTATAAACCACCTGAGTGGGAACCCCTTATACCACTCTAAAGAATACTTGAAAAATACATACAGTAGGTGGAACACACATCTGTTGGTTCTACAGAAAGAAACAAAACGTAGTGCAATGTTGCCAATATAAAGAATACAAAATAATAGAGTGTAAATACTCAACCATTTAGCCAAATCTATACATATGGCTCTCATGGGTAAGTGCAGAGGGATTCTTAATAGGATGTCCCCAATCCTTCATCCAGTATTTTTAAAACTGTGAAAAAACATTGAGTCTTTACTAATTGTCATCCAGAGATCCCTGGGTTTCTGTCTCGACCAATGATTGCATATAAAAATGTCCTTCAATAAGATAGACTAGTTAAACCGAATTTACCGCTCTCTAAGAAATCCTCCTTTATGCCAATCTTAGATCCTGCCAAAAAATGTAATCACATTGAATATATATCTTCTTTATTGCAAATCAAGTAATAATAGCCTTATGTATTTCTATACTATAATCCCTTTCCATAGTTTGTATCTCCTTTTTTAAGTGTTCACGAAAGAGGTCCTGGTACTGTGTCACATTTCTTACTTGGTGTATTTTTATACCTACTACCAACAGGAGAGTACTGTGTATGCACTGTCACTTTAAAAATTGCTGGCTGCACTGTGAAATTAATTTTTAAGTAGATATCTTTTCACAAGTACAAGATCATATTCTATATATTTAAGCTATGATTCACTTAAGGTCACATGATGGAAATATTCCGTCATGATTCCCTTTTATTCTAGAAGTTTTGTCCTTAAGGGGTTAAAGGGACATGCATCACTTTGTGAAAAATGTTTCATTCAAATGAGGATGATTTTTTTTCCCCCTCACCATAAATACTTCCAATTGGTATCCATTGAAGTAGCCAGTCTGTGTTGCATATTAGTATTACATGTAATATCCCTGTGTCAGCTCTTCCAAGAACATATAACTTTATCCCCCTTTCCAGTTAAATATATTTATAGTACTACTAAGATATTATGCCTAATATTAAAATAAAACAGTCAGTACCACGTTCTTTACCAGGAGAAAAACTGTACTTGGAATCTGCTCAATTAAATATTGCAGATGAACAAAATTATAAATTACAATGGTGCAGATTTACAATACATTTAGAAGACTCTTTAATCTATAAAGGGACTGATTATACTCACTAGAACAACTACGTTATGCTGTAGTTGTTCTGGTGACTGTAGTGTCCCTTTAAGGACAAAATGATGGTCCATACCGTCATGCAGTTCAGGGCTTTAATGCCTAGTGACGGCATAGACCATCATGTAGTGAAGGTACCAGAAGGGGGTTACATTTCGATGAATAGGGATCACCTTTGTCAGTTGGGACCACAGCCCTTTAAATACCACGGTGCACAGTGTCCCTTAGTTTCAGGGAGACCCTTGAGATGTGGAAAAAGACATAGAAACATAGAATGGGACGGCAGATGAGAACCATTCTGCCCATCTAGTCTGCCCAATTTTTATAAATACTTTCATTAGTCCCTGGCCCTATTTATTACTAGCATTTATAAAGTGCCAACAGATTCCGCAGCACGGTTATGTTATAGTTAGGATAGCCTTATGCACATCCCACGCATGCTTAAATTCCTTTACTGTGTTTACCTCTACCACTTCAGCTGGAAGGCTATTCAATGCATACACTATCCTCTCAGTAAAGTAATACTTCCAGATATTTTTAAACCTTTGTCCCTCTAATTTAAGACTATGTCCTCTTGTTGTGGTAGTTTTTCTTCTTTTAAATATAGTCTGCTCCTTTACTGTGTTGTTTCCCTTTATGTAGTTAAATGTTTCTATCATATCCCCCGTCTCGTCTTTCCTCCAAGATATACATGTTAAGTTCCTTTAACCTTGTTTTATCCTGCAATTCATGAAGGAACTTCTGGATCAGAATGTGAGCTTCTGAGATCACAGAACACGACATTAATACAAAGGTAAGGTCTATCCAAAGTAAAATAAAGAGAAAAAAAAAATATTTCAAAATGGATGGTATAGGATCTGTAAAGGGATTGATGTCCCTTTACAAACACCAGGTAGCCCAGGAATGCCATGTCAAAAGGTAACAGGACACAGAAATGGAATGGAGGTATGAGAATATCACACTGAAATGGAACACTGGGGAGGGGGGAATGGGACACAGAAATGGAAAGAGAGGGAAGACGGGTACACAGAAATAGGACAACAGGGGCGGGAATAACGTAACAGAAATGGGGCCAGGGAGAGGAGAACGTAACAGAAATATGGATGCGAAGTGGAGAACTGGGCACAGAATGGGACATGGGGCCGTGGGTGGGGAGGTGTACGGGACACAGAAAAGGGCTTGGGGAGAGTAAGAGACACACAAAAGGCGCAAGACATTCAGAAGATGTACAACGCTACGGAATGTGATGGCGCTATATAAATAATAATAATGGGATAAAATGCAAAAAGGGCTAAAAAGCATGGGGGTGGGGAGAGGGAAACACATTTTTGTCGGTGTGTACACAAAAATATACTTGCACTGCCCCTGGATGTAACTAATAACATCATTCCTTATGCCAACCCCAAATATGGCGCAGCCTGTTGTTCCTCATCCCCAGAGCAAATGGACCTGTATTGCTCCCTCACCATTACTGTGGGGATTAAAATTAAAAAAAATTAAATAGATTAGTGACATCTATTCTTCTAAAGAGATCATTTCAATGGAACTGGAACTGTAAATTAACAGAGAACCTAGCACTGGTCCACCATGCCCCCACCTGTGACCAGTGGAAGCCTCCTTATATATTTTTTTAATAAAAATGTTGTGCTTTCACACAAAATAAAGAAAGCAGACAAAAACCCCTCCTCCAACAAATTAAACCCTATGTAGCCATGTGCAGTACTGTCTGCAGTGGCATAATGAATCTCCTCGTGTTCTCTATGAACAGGTGGAGTGTTGGCCCGCCCCCCGCATGCAATCATTCCTCTACTGGCAGCACACGGCGCATTACAACTGTCCTACAAACCTGATGATGCACATCCTGCACTTTGCCGGTCAAGGGGTCGTTTTATAACTTCCTTCTTCCGCTGACATGAAGAGATACTCCTACTCCAGACATATCATCATAACCACGCCCCCTCAACCCAGGAATAGAACCTTTACTACTCCAAAGATACATCAGTGACCGCTCCGCCCACTAATAGACATTCTAAATTCAGAACGCCGCCTGCTCATTCCCAACCACTGGAACTGTTACATTTAATCAATTTATACATACTTTATAATCGCTGTTACGCCATTTATAATTTGCAATCACTCAACCAATAAACTATTTGGAACTAAACAGTAAAAAAGAAAAACAAACAAAAAAGAAAAACACGTTATAAACCTATCTAGAACTGGATAAGACAAGTAGTGAATCTGCAATTGATGTAGTACAACTCGTGATTACTTATTTATCTTTTAGATAAGGGGTACAAGGATGATGTGATGGTTATATCTCGCACTTTGCTTATCTATACATATTCATACATGTCTGCTGCAGAAAGTAGATAGGTTTATTTAATTCTTCCCATGCATTGCCTGTGAGTTACTGTAGTAGGGCCAACCTTATACTTCTCTTCATTGGACCATGGGTGTATGGGAGCGGCCCTACGTGTTTAGCCCTACCTCTAGGACACAAGCCCAGCCCCATCTCCTCCCCGCCGTCCTGTGGGTGCAGCCGGGCTAGGCATGGCGGCGGTGGAGAGTAGAGTGTGTGAGACCGAGGACTGCACCAGCGAAGCCAAGCTGCAGTGCCCAACATGCATCAAACTGGGCATCCAGGGCTCCTACTTCTGCTCACAGGTACACCTTATTGGGTAGGGGGAAGTCAGCGCCAGCCATTGCCCTCCTGCTTTGCCATGCTGCCAGTGTGCTTACCATGCATGTGCAGACCCTCCATGCGCCACAGTCACACTGGGTTATAGATGGGGCACAGGACTACCCTATGTATACCCCATATACAGGCACATACATCTGAAAAAGGTTTCCACACTGCTTTGTCATCACTCTCCCTCACAGACACTGACACATCCATTTTTATGGAGGAGGTGGTGTCTGAATGAACCTGATTCATTGTTAGATTTGCAAGCTTGCTGACAGGGCCCTATCCTTTTAAATCCGTTTCTCCCTGTCATATTATGTTTTTTCATTTCGCTTTATATACAGAACCAAACTGCTTATTGCGTGCTTTACACATTGTAATACATTCCATTCGAATCATTTAATGTGTGGTGGGTAACATTACATCGGAACCGCCTCTGTTACCCTGCACCATTAGAGGGGATAAAGTACAGAAAGGTACAAATTGTCTGAGTAAGGAATCAATGAGGTTGTCCTGCATGTTATTTGCAGTAATTTGATGCATGCTCCTCCATGCTTGGTTTTGTATTGTACATGGTACACATGCAGTTAAACCAGTCTTGGTTCATTTCTCCTTTTTTATTTTCTTTGTAAAGATAATATTTATCTCTTCACTCTATGAATAACTTACACAAAATGCATACTGTTACCTTTTATGTAAATGAATGTGGCTGATTTGAAAACAAAATCTGTCTGCACCTGCCCTTATGTCTTTGATGATATTCTTTATTAGGTTTTTGTTTTTGGCCAGCTGCACATTGCTAAATAGATTTTCTTGAACTCCTAAAGGAAGACCATGAAAGGTTTCATACTTGTATTGACTGGCAGACAATAGCTCCCATTCACTTTGCTCATATCCTAAAAGTGTGCCTATGTACTGCACCCATGTTATTTTGTGATGCACTACACAAGATGCACTTCTACTTACTCACATTTGATCTTCCTTTAGTAGGCTGAATTTATTCTTGGATGGATTGCATCATTGTTTTTTCACCCTCTGATCTTATATAGGTTTATAAGAAGCTGTTATGTTTCTCTTTACTTGTTACCTTCTATGTTGTACATAGTGCCAGTTAATTATCTTCTAGTTTGTCTGGTATTTTGAAAGGGCTCTCCAACTTCTAAGACAATAAACACTGCATTTAATTTATGATATACACCTTCACATGACAATCACTTGAGTTATAGGGAAGAGTAGGAGAACTCTCTTCTAGGCAGTTCTGCTCTCTGTCAGAGTACTATTGCTCTAGCAAGGATGTTTCATGCCAAGAACAGACGTCACTCTGTCCTTATGTTGATGTGCCATCTATTATGGGGCCATCTAGAATGTGTAGCACATGTATAGAGGTTGACAAAAGTCCCTACAACCTGTGATCATTAAAATAACACTTCAAGCAATATAGCCACCACAGCCTGCTAGGTCATGCAGGATTGTGATCATTTCAGCCTAGTATGCTAGACCATATGGAGATCACTTAAGTAGAATGGAGCTGCGGGTCTTCTAGCAGATCAGAGCCAGTCAAATTTGAGTACTGCTATCTTAAACCAGAACTAACTAATATTAGCAATTGTTTTTTTTTTTTTTTTTAACATTTTGACAGCCACTAGAGGCAGGTTAACCCTGCAATAAAAACATTGCCATTCCTGCAGAACCGCAATGTTTGCAGCGGCCAAGTTAAAACAGGGGGAGCATTGCACCTAGGACGTTTCCTATGTTTCTTTAACACACTCATTCGTTTTATTTTTCTGCATAAATATAACAAAACAAATGAGATATGGACCTTTAAAGGATTACTATAGTGTCAGGAAAACAAACCCGTTTTCCTGACACTATGTCATCCTTGGGGGAACCTCACCATCAGGATCCCACTCCCGTGGCGCTGAAGGGGTTAAAACCCGTTCAGCAGTTTACCTTAAGCCGGCGCTGGTGACCTCTCCTCCTCGCCTATGTCAGCTCCTGAGTGGAGCGGAATATGCATGCGCGCGCATTTTAACAGTCCATAGGAAAGCATTTCTTAATGCTTTCCTATGGACGTTCTGCACGCTGGATGCGCATCCAGTGTCCCAGAAGCGCCTCTAGCGGCTGTCAGGAAGAAAGCCACTAGAGGTTGGATTAACCGTGCTATGTAAACATAGCAGTCATTGAGCTGAAGTGGTCTGGGTGACTATACTGTCCCTTTAAGGAAAGTCTTTGCATTTGGTGATTTAGTAGAAGAAAAAAAGATCTAGGAGAAATAGTAACAGCACACTAGGGCTGCAGTTATATATATTAAATCTCTAATAAGCGCAAAGCTTCTGTCAGCATCCGTCTGAAATTTTGGTTATAGAAAAGCAGAGTGCCACTGATTGGCTGAGAGCGGTCAGCTGATGCTTTTAGCCAATCCATGACTCCTCATTTAATAAACTGACTTGCAAATTTTTTTTTGTAAATTGTGAGTCAGCTGACCACTCTCAGCCAACCAGCAGCGCTCCAGCAGGCAGTGTCTGACAGCCACTTGAGGCATAATTAGTGACAATTGTAAACATTGCCATTTATTCCAAATGGTTATGTTTACATTTGTCAGACTATCCATCTGTGGCATCATATACCAGGTACAGTAAAAGTTAATAGGAGGTATTTTGGAATGGAGAAGGTTTTAGATGCAGTATTCACAATACATTTGTTTCTTAAAACCTTTTAAATTTTATTTATTTATTTAGACCAAACCCTATTCAATGCATAGACAATGTTTCAATGGAAACTCTAATGGAGTTTCAATGGAAATGTAATGATTGAACAGTCACTTTAAAAACTACGTTTGTCAAGTGTCAAAACATTCGTTTTTGGTTTTTTTTTTGGCATGTGGTTGACCTTTATTTCTGCCTGGTATAAGCATTTACAGGCCAGGAGGGTACATGAAGCTGTAAATGGTATGGCCGCAGCATGGTGCAGTTTGGCAGTGCTAAAAATAAGTGTTCACTGGTTCGTACACATGGAGTTTGGCAGTTGTCTTACATTTAAGTTGTCTTTTTTTGAGTGTGCAGTATAACTGCACTCCATGGTTTTTATCAATGGAATTGTGAAAAATCTTAAGTGTGAGGGGAAAAAGCATATAGTTCTAACACTTTTTAAGAAACTGCTAATGTAGAGTATTCTTGCTTTACAAAGGTTTTTTTCTCCCTGGTTTATAGGGGTTTTAAAAGCTGTTTGAAATGAACAACCTAGTAACTAATGCATGTTACTTTCTTAAAGGAACAGTCCAAGCACCATAACCACTACTCCATAACCACTACAGTACATTGCACAACCTAATGTATATAGTCAAACGGTTTGATAATAGTTGTATTTCTTTTTCTTTTTTTTTTTTTTTTCTGTTAGCTCTCCTGAGCTAAGCCACCCAAAAATTAGCTCATTGAAGTACCCTTGAGACTGCAGAAAAAGCAGTGTGCAACAACTAGCGAACCCAATGAGACAAGCCGTGAGCAAACAGTTTTATTATTTACATTGGGGGTGGGGTGCCAGTGCGTGCTGTAGTGGTTGTGGTGCCTGGAGTGTTCCTTTAATTAATTTATGGTTTTCTTCAGTATAGTCAGTTGGTGGGTAATGGTTTATTCCAAAAAAAGATGGGGGAACATTTCAGATAGTCAGTTATGTGATGAAAGATCAACTTAAACTAGTTAGAGCTTAAAGTGGATCTATCCCTACCCTCCATACCCAAAAATATGTATTTTATAAAGATAGAATCTTTATGTAATACTCACATTGACTGCTTTAGATCCTCCGTACACTGACTGTTATCCTCCATAGACCTCAGTGCTCTACTCACGCGCATGTGTGAGAGTACAGTGTGGACATTGCCTCCTAGCAGCTTAAGCACCAGTAACTGAAAATGATGCAGTGGATAAAGATGGCGGCACATGAGTGGAGCAGGGCCCCTCCCCAACCTACACTCAGCGGAGTAGTCACCGAGGGTAGTGTTTTTTTTTTTTTTTTGCAAATTATGCAAAGACCCCAGATGATGAGAGAACTGCTTTAATTCCTTGTAGGAAAGAATATAGATTTTCATATTTCGTACAGAATCTTTATTTAAATCAAATTAATCTCTGCATTTAGCCTGTGACAGGATAAAATATTAAGTGTTGGCATTTCCATGTTTAAACTTGTTTGTCATTTGTCAGTTATTGCTTCAAACTAAGACATTTAAAAATAAAAACAAATTGTATTTTGACCAAACGTTTTCTCTCTGCAGGAATGTTTTAAAGGAAGCTGGGCAACACACAAGCTCCTCCACAAGAAAGCAAGTAAGGAATCCTTTGGACAATTTCATACCTTTTATTGGCTAAGCTTAAAGTAACTGTTCACACAGATAAATAACTTCAGCCTGCTGAAGCACTTTATGTATCAGGATCTTCTCATTTTAACTGAAGTCTAAATCATCACTTTTATAAATAACTGAAGAAATACTGCCTTGGTTGAGGACGTTGTCTTCGATTGTGGTTAGATTCAGCTGGTCCTGATGGCTGTTTAAAAATATAACTGCTCCACTGAAGGTGACAGAAGGGGCAGCTACACTCTGCTAGAGTGCGCCTGCTTTCTCCCACTGTCACAATAGTCCTGTGAGCGTGCGTGTGTCCACAAACCTCATTGAAGACCTGTGTCCTTCCTGTCTGCTGTCTTCTGACTTCTAATGGCGCTGAATACAGTTTAATATGAAGTCTATATACTGGAAAGTTGTGCTTGAGCTTGTGGTTTAAAATCCTGGGCCTCTCAATGGTCATTTCTCCAGGACACACTGAAAGTTTGTTCTGTGTAAAAAGGGTAGGGCTTCTTTTAAAAGTTCAAACATCTTCTTAAAATAATACATTTGTATATTATAGGTTGTCCTAAAAGCTACAGCAAGACTTTTTGATGTCAGAGCAGTGGATTTTTTTTGTTTGTTTTTATTTTTGTTTAAAGAAATCTAATTTTAAAATAAAACTGTGTACTCGTTCTAAAAGCAGCAGGGGCATTGCAAAAGTCTTAGCTCCATGTCAAAATGTGAGATAATTTCCTTCCTTTTCTATTTCATAAATATGAATCATAACTGTATACGGGATAAAGCCTACTGAGTGTGATGTTTTTGCCTCTCTGTATTTGAAGCATAAGTGCCACAGCTGGGTTTAATCTCATCTTGTAACTTGGGTCTGGGGATTTTGCCCAAATAAAGTTTTACTTGTGTGGGGCACTCCTGTTAATAACCTTGTGTGGACCTCTACTCTTATGCAGCTGTTAGTGCAGAAGGACAAGATTCTAGGGATTTCTCGAACAAGGGACATTCCTAAATGTGTATTTTATTTTACAATTCCTATAAATCATAAAGATAATGCAAAAAAATGTTTTTCATTATCAGGGAGACAGGGCTTAAAATTGGAAGAGTGAAAATGTTGACCCCAAGGTAGATATACTCACGTGAAGCTCTCACTTGTGCGCTCTGCTGTCTTTCTTCTGGCACTTCATCCACTAGCAGCCATGTCCCTGTCATCCCTTCTTTGTCTTTGCTGTGGAGTCGGTGTGAATTTCATAAAGAACATATCTTAAGAAAATGCTCAGAAATAACAGAGCCACTTTAACTAAGGCTCAATTTATATCATTTTTAAAATGCAGATTATTGTTAGCCTTTTGGGTGCATTGCCAATTGTCGATATTCTGCACTTTTAAAGTTTTTGCAAAGCAACACCTTTTTATGCAAAATTAGCATTATATGAGCATGCTCATAGCAATTGCACTTCTATCTTTCTCAGAAAGCCAGTTCATGCTGGGATTACTGAGATCCCAGCATGCACAGTGCTGTTACCGATAGGAGTATGAATGCTCACAGCAATTATCGGAAATATGCAGAATATAGGCACTGATAATCGGCCTCTCCCTAGCTTAAATAGTCTAACACTTATGTACAAATTATTTTTTACCATGAGTGTAGAGTCAGGGTATTACCATGTGTTTCAATAGCCATAATTATTTGGTTGTTGCATTTTAGATACACCTTTACTGTATGGTATACATTTCTGGGAGGTTTGCCATCACATAAAAGCTGGTCTTTTAAACTGCAAATGTGCTGCAATTGTGTAATTTTTAGATGCTTCAATATATCTATACTTTTGTACATGCAGTGCAGCCCAAAGTTTCATTATAGTACTGATAGCCCACAATAGCTTTCAAGATTTTTTTTTTTTTTTTGTGATTGCAAACTTCCATACCATTTTTTGCAACCCACGTAAACTAGTATGTATGGTTTTCTCTCTTTTTAAATCCTATTCTAATTCTCTGCATCTATATTTTTCCCTCCTCTTTATTTGAATGCAGAAGACGACAAAGGCAAACGTGAGGTTTCACCATGGACAATGGAAGGAGATATAAACACCGATCCATGGCCTGGTTATCGGTATACTGGAAAACTGAGACCACATTATCCATTGGTACCTACACTAGCATGAAGCAAATCTATTTATAAGACAATTACATTTGCTTTTTTTAATTTGAGATCTGTGTAAATTCATTTTATTGTCTACAAAATGATAATATAATTAGAATTTTAAATTGATATATTTTGTTTTAAGGGTGGCCCAGGAACCGCCTACTTTCTCCCTTTAAAGGGATATACCCTAAGCACCCAAACAACTTTAGCTTAATTAACCAGTTCTGTTGTATATATCATTAGCCTGCTGTCTCACTGCTAAATCACGGTTGTTCTGTTTATGCAGCCCCAACCGCATATCCCCTGACTGTGACTCTCAGAGCCTCCATTAAAAATGTTTTTATTTTCAATCAGATTTTACAGCACAGTGTGTTTACTTTAGAAGTTTTTATCTCTGACTCTGTTACGTGAGCATTAGTTACAAACATGAGGCTCTAGCAGGCAATTACCAGATCAGGATATAATAAATTCTACATTAAACACACTGTGCAATAAATGAAAATTAGATCTCCCTTTACAGGACATGTGTAGCGGGATTGTGTGATTCGCAGATCACTGTCCATGTTTTATCCATGTTTTAAATTAATTTGTGTCTCAAATGTTGATACATAGGTCTTATTTCTCATATTCCTTACTGCAAGGTAGGTAACCTTTGCCACTCCAGATGTTGTGGACTACATCTATCCTAATGCTCTTACAGCTATAATGCTTTTAAAGCATCAGCAGAAATGTAGTCCAAAACCTCTGAAGTGCAGAAAGTTGCCTACCCCTGTGAGTGGTGTTATAATTTTTACAAATCAATATTAAAGGCGGTGCAGAAAGAGGGATAAAATAATAGGTGGGGAAATCTGTAAATTAGGTATTATCCCAGTCCTACTTCAAGTTGGTTGGCTTCTACAAAAGGCATTTATCACTATGCTCGCTGTACTTTTTGTCATACCTTTTCTAAATTGTTTTAAGATACTTAGATATCTAACAAGTTATCTCTAAAAAGTTAATTCATCAATTGTTGTTCCACTTTTTTTGTCTGTTTAATAATGGGTAGTTGCAGCAAACAATATATTGGAAAGACTACCGAAATTTCAGACACTGCATTCCTCAACTTGTCAATTCGGTCATCAACAGAAACATAACTACCCCAGTGACACCACATGTTAGGGCCTATCATGATAGTGACCCTACGCATTTACAATTTCAGGCTACTCGAGTAGTATTACTAATATCAGAAGAGAGAACCTTAATCTCTCTTTACTAAAATTATAATCCAAACATTACATTTTCAAAACATGGTCGTCTAGAGGGCTTAATAATGAATTTAATTTGACCCCTTTTATACGTTGGTAGAACTCTCAGCACGCTGGTTATTCTTTGATCTTTATATGCTTTTATATTTTTCTGTTCACATTAATATTTATATTGTATTTCTGTTTGAGCACCCTCTTTAATGATTCATTTTATCCTAGCTATCATCACTCACGGCATTCACTCACTGTCATCACTACCATTCAACAATTTCCTGACAGGGTGTTGTTGCTATTAATTGTACTATTGTTTACTTGGTAGTGTTGATTCATAACTTGCACGTGGCAATTGTTTTCCCTGTATTGGTGCTTTACCTGTATTTTAGCATCATAGTAACGTTACGATTTCTCATTTTTAGGCAATCATTGTCAAAGTAATTTATCTCCAGTCAAGCCTCTTCCTCATAATGTCCTATTAGGACATTTACATTGTTTTTTGTTTTTTAAATTCTGGTCACCCTTTCTCTTACTTTATTATTTAATTTTTATTTTATTTTATTTTTTAGAACTCTGTTAGACTATTCACTTTCTTAAAGGTTTTTATTTTTCATTCTCTTCTTGATTACAAAGAAGCATTTTTGATTATAGGTGTTAATATGATATCTCTGCAAGATGAGTTACCGGTATACCCAATTGGCAGGAAGTGGATTAATCTCATAAGAGCAAGCATTAGGCTTCTAGGATAGGACCTGCCAACAATGGGGTACATTGACGGTGTGGCAGGCTTATGCAATATATGATCATATAATGTAACTAAACCCCCATTATTTTTTGCCTAGGTGAGGTGTTTTTAAATAAAACTATTACAATTTCTAAGATTTGAAATCATTGTTTAGTGAATAAGCGAGTGCGCTGGATTCTGTATTTTGTATATTTTGGTCCCAGCAGCACCCTGTAATGTATGCATGTTTAGGTGAGTGCAGCCCTCTTGGTTTTGTGTGTGTATGTGTATATACTTTTCTATACCCTTTCTTTGTATTTTACAGTGTATCCTTCTACATAACTATGACCAGAGGCATAGCTTGGTCACATTTTGGCAACCCCACACACACATTTTAAACTTTTGTGTGTTGCCTTCGCACTAACTCAATTCTTTGTTTGCATCTCCTGACCCTTCTTGTGTGTTTTTTGTAATCCCCCTTTCATCCTCATCCTCATGCTTTTCAGTCCCCCTTTGAAATCCTTTTACATTTTTCTGTTTCTTAACCCATATTACTTCTTCTGTATCTCTTAACCCACGTTACCTCTTGTTTGCTTCATATAAAGTAATATAGAAACATAGAATGTGCCCATCTAGTCTGTCCAATTTTCTAAATACTTTCATTAGTACCTGGTTTTATAGCTAGGATAGACTTATGCATATCTCACACATGCTTCTCTCTGTTCTCTGTTAACCTCTACCTCTTCAGCTGGAAGGCTATTCCATGCATCCAATACCCTCTCAGTAAAGTAATACATCCTGATATTATTTTTAAACAGGCACATGCACAGTTACAGGGATACGCAAAGTCAGGCATCATACAGTCCATGTTACAAGGACACACAATTACAGGAGCACACACATACAGTTGCCAAATCTGCCTTCTGCGCCCCTTTTTTTATGGGCACTGATCCTATTGGAGGAAGTGCAGGCCTGTGCATTCTCTGGTGTCTAGTGTTTGGGGATGCAGAGACTACTTCCCCCTCAGCAAGTGGCTGTTTGCAGGAAGGCATGGCTGGGCTAGCTGAGCGAGTCTCCACAGCTGCTGCTTTGGTGAGTATGGTGGCGCCGGCACAGTGCTCCTCTACATCCAGTGCCCAGAGCTTCCCTATCTTCCCCCTAGTTTCGCCACAGACTATGACTTACTCATTTAGAGATTTTTCTACACAACAATTTTTCTACACCTAATATTTAATTTTTCTTTTTCATTTTAAGGATATTTCTGCATTGATTTCCATATTAATTTTGGAAAATATAACATTAAGGAATATGATAAATTAGACATATAGCGAGTTGAGGCACACATTTTTGCATTTTAATTATACTATTTTTAATAATGTACCAGTGAACAAAAGTTTTTTTAATTTTCGTTATTCTCATTTACGTTTGAAATGATTTTCTGTTAGGGATAACCCCCATCTTTTAACTAGTCCTGACCACATCTAGCTCTATTTACCTATTGTTGATAAATTGAAGATTATACTAGACAGGAGGTGAGTATTTTGCATAAAGCTCTCTTTACTGACTCCACAGCAGCAAAGAAAAAAGTACAACAAGAACCAATTAAAATGTAGTAGGAGGTATAGTATCCACAGTAGGCTGCTCCTCCTCTTTTAGCTAGCAACATCACAGATTGGGAAGTCCCAACAGAATGAACAACTATCTTCCTTGGCCTCACAGACGGAAAGAATCAACAAAACGAACAAAGATAATCCTTTTGAAATGTAGGATAAACTTTGTAAGGCACCTCCAGAAGGAATCAGAATCCCACCTTGAATTAAGCTGAAAAAAGAATGTGAAAATAGGTTAGGCACTAATATCGAACCCATGAAAACAAGGAGTTTACCCCACTATAAAATGACAGATAACTAATTATAGTTAAATTAATAAGTACTAGAATTAAAATTGTATTAAGCACTAAATCATCTACTAGATCCAAATCCTGACATGCATAACTCTGCACCTGATCTGAGGTTCGGAGTGGGGATGTGACTTCCACGTAACTCCGTAAAGTCGAGACCGCACATAGTTGAGGGTCCATGACAAAAAAGGGATAAAATATCAAGGATGAATTTGATTTGGTGCGACGGGATACCGGAAGGTGACCCGGTCCAGAGACCCGCAGAGGCAAAGCAAAATCGGCATGTTGCCGAAGTGAAAGTCTGTTGTTGGTAGGCCAGTCTCTTAAAAAACGGAGCACAACTTTGATGTCCCAGAGGCAAGCATATTTGGGGCCTGGTGGTCATTGTAGACAAATAACTCTCTGTAATCAACATACCATAGTTGAAAAAAGTGATGACAAGAAGTTCAGAATGGCTGAGGTGCTGTAAACTGATCGAAGTTCTGTTCCATGCACCAAGATGCAAAGAGGTAGCATCGTCTCGTCCCCGCTGCCCATGAGTCCCATAGGAGGTCCCTAGCAGTCTGCGATAGTTAGCCGATCAGCCAAGCGCCCCAATAAAAGAGTCCAGGCCACCAGGGGCAGACGAGCATCCAGCAACATTGGGTGAGGGTTCCCTTCCAGATCCGTGTTGGGTAGGACGGTAGTAGTAGTGGGTCTTCGTAGGACAGTGCCAGCAGATCCTGGAACCAAGGTTGGCTCTGCCATAGGGGAGTGATTAGTAGTAGAGATATTTTGTGGACCTTCAGGTAATGGAGAGTCCTTGCTATCATAGCGAATGAGGGAAACGCGTACGCGCCGGTGAGCGGCCACGTTTGTAGGAAGGCGTCAACTGCTTTGCTCTCCGGATCTGGGAGCCAGCTGAAGAAGTCTAGAGTCTGTTGTTGCGTGATGCGAACAGATCCAGATGAAACTGGCCTGGTTGTGAGAGGGTATTAAAGATCTGGGGGTCCAGCATCCAATCGCTGCCGTCTCGCCAATGGCGGGAGAACCAATCTGCCATGAGATTAGTCTCTCCTGGCAGGTATTCCGCCTTGAGGGAGATGTTGCGGGGAAGGCAGAAGTCGAAAATCTCTTTTGTTCTGACAGGAGTCGTGAGTGGGCTCCGCCCAACTGGTTGATATAGCAGACTGCAGAGACGTTGTCCATCCTGAGTAGGATGCAACAATTGTACCGGTCTTTTGCAAGGCTGCGTATGGAGAAGGATCCTGCCAGGAGTTCTTGGCAGTTTATATGTAAGGTGAGTTCTTGTGAAGTGCAGGTGCCTCCTGTTGATATGCCTTTGCGTCCAATTCCGGTATGAAGTCCGGTGTGTCTCAGAAAATGGCCCGACCGTTCCACGCCTGCATGCTGTCCAGCCACCATCTTAGTTCCTCCCTGACTTCTTCTCTACCGGTACTGGTTGGTCGTAGGTAGCGTTTTGACAAAGTAATGAGGCCTTGAGGCGTTGCATCGCCCTTTAGTGGAGTGGTCCTGGAAAGATGGCCTGGATGGATGCTAACAGGAGACCCACAATGTGAGCGAGTCCGCGGAGTGGAACTGTTTGGCAGCTGATGACTCTGCAGAGTTCCTTCCGTATAGCTGAGATCTTTGACGTCGGCAGGTGAAGCGTGCTGGATTTGGAGTTGATTTCGAAGCCTAGAAATTGTACGGTTTGGGATGGGGTCGTAGCAGATTTCGGGTGGTTCACCACGAAACCGAGAGATTCTAGAAGGTCCATGGTAAAGTGTGTGTGTGTGTGTGTGTGTGTGTGTGTGTGTTTTCTTAGTCTGGACTTGTTGGAGCAGAATAGGAAGTTGTCCAGGTATGTAATGCAGCAAATTCCTCTTGCTCGACGATTAGTTACCACCGGCTTCAGTAGCCTGGTGAAGCACCATGGGGCCAAAGGAAACGCCTGCAGGCGGAGTGGACGGGAACTGAAAGGTAAGCATGTTTGAGATCTAACCTTGTGAACCAATCACCTTCTTGAAGGAGGTCTCGTAAGAGAGGTGAATGCCTTGAAGTGGCGGTACACCACATTTGCGTTGAGCTTCCGGAGGTTTATAACCGGGCGGAAGTACCCGGTTTTCTTTTTCACTAGGAACATGTTGTTGAAAAAAAAAATGGATTCCGGGGCAGGTTCGGTCATGCCTTTTTGTACAGAGCTCTTGCAGTTTGAAGTCGATGAGTTGGAAGTCCTCCGGGGAGCAGTTGAAGTTGTGGTGGATCCGACTGGAGAGGCGTGTCGACGAGGTCTATGACGTAGCCTCGAACCGTTTGTAGAAACCAGGCGTCCAACGAGATGGTCGTCCAAGCCTGAAAGAAAAGAGAAATACGGCCTGAATGTAAAGGAACTGGAGGAGAATGGTAGCTTACCTGACGGGAAACGTGTCTTGCCACATCCGCGTGTGCCGCAACCTTTATCCGATCCTCTGGAATAGGAGAATGGTTGTCTGTATCCCACCTCTGGGTACAACGGTTGGTGCCTGAAGGCCAAAATCGTCTGACCGCACGGCCCCTTTGGCGGCCAGCCCTTCCAAAAGAAAAACCTTGCAGAATTGTGCCTGAAGATCTTCCCCATAGAGATCTGTGCTTTGCTCAATGAGGTGACAACGTTAACATGTCTAATTCCTTAACCCCTTAAGGACACATGACGTGTGACATGTCATGATTCCCTTTTATTCCAGAAGTTTGGTCCTTAAGGGGTTAAAGAAAGCTTCGCCAAATAGTTTGTTCTGTGCCAGAGGTCCAAGCTCCTTGGTGCCCAATTTCACCAACTTTCTGTCTATGCAGAGTAGTGCTGCTTTACACCTCTCGGACGTGAAGGCAACGTTTGCATTAACCACAAAACAGAAACCTCTTTCAACCCATTTGCGTATATCATGCGCCCATTCCCTAACAGTGTTGGCATCGACTTGATCAGCCTTCTGGAAGGCGTTGTCCACCAGGTACATAATGCGAGAGAGGAGTCCGGTGGCATCCAATAAAGTTGTCCTGAAGTCCTCTGAATCCCCTCTCCACCCCTATACGGGGGTCGCGGCCACCTCTTGTCATGAAGGTTGTCATGACCTGGTTGAACTTAGGTGTTTGGGCATCCTGGTCCTGTAGAGAAGGGCGTGGGCATTCAGACTTCAGCCGGTTACGAACCACCTTATCTAGTGGCTTGCGTAGCCATAGATGCATATATTTTGCCAAGTGCTCTGGGGTTCCGGTCCCCTGAGCGAGGGTGTCGGATGTTCCGTGGATCAAAAAGTTTCTTGCCCGTCTGGTCCTGTATGGTATCACCCTCTTCCAGTGGGGGTTCTGCATCCTCAGTCATCCGAATGTCGCGGGGAAGGGGGCAGGAGTAGTGGTGGGTGCAGATTTACGTCGCTTAGTGGTTTGGGTTGTACCTTCTCACCCTTCCAATGGCTTTTGCCAGGTTGGGGTTCCTCTTTAGTGTAGGAGTCTGAGGCCTCCAAGTCCGACTTGTAGCGTGTGCTTTGAGGTTTGGAGGATTTGGGCTGATCAGCCTTCGTCATCATCATGTGTGACAGGGCCTTCTCCGTGGGCGCGACCACAGTCGCATTTATCATGGTCTGGAAGTCCACATTGGTATTCTAGGAATCTTCCATTGTTGTAGGTAGGTCAGGGGTCAGACTTGTAGGGTAGCATCCTACAGTGGTGATGGTACCAGCAGTACTAGTGAATACAATCCAGCAGGATATAACTCAGAGTATAGCACCAGCAGTACTATAACTAAACCCCAGCAGGGTATGATAATTCTGAGTATAGTATGAACAGTACTATAAATATAATCTAATATAAACCCCCAGCAGGGTGTAGTCTGACTGGGATTTCTATCTGGGCCTCACCCAGGTATACAGAGTATGCCAAAGCAGAGTTCTGATCATCAGCACAGAGTGCATAGGGTGTTGAGGGTGCTCTATAGTGCCTACCACAGCAGCAAGTTATGACTGACCTGTGGGGACCCCTGCCTGGTTGATCGAGGATTCAGTTGAAAAGTAGCTTTTTGGGTCATGTCTGCAGAGTTAGTGGAGAAAAAATGGCACTCGTGAAACTCCTAAAATGGCGGCAGCGGATCTCGCGAGGTGCAAGATGGCCGCCGATACTGATAGATTGTAATGGATTGATCCGGGCGTGTGGATGCATGCAGTTCGGAGGCTGTGAGGGAGCAGTTCAAGGTAGGAAGTAACTCCCCCTGGCGGTAAGGGGTTACCGCCGGGTTTGGGGGCTGGCGCAAGACCCGCGACGGTCGGGGAAAGGGGGGGTGCGCAATATTAAAATACACCAATACAAAATAAGGCTAAATAATAACAAGCAGTGGTAAATAAAGTGGTAGACAAATAGGAAAATGAAATTGAAATAGAAGATATGGATAAAAGACTATGTATAATCAAAACACAGAGAAGAGCCAAAAACTCCGACCTTTCTGCTGATGGAGCAGCAAAGAAAAAGGAGGAGGCAATTAACTGTGGATACTATACCTCCTACTACATTTTGATTGGTTTTTGTTATACTTTTTTCTTTGCTGCTGTGGAGTCAGTAAAGAGAGTTTTATGCAAAATAGGAAGCCTCCTGTCATGTAATAAAATTACATTATGGCTTGGGACTTTGATAGAGTGGTCATTTTTTTTTAGATTTATTATATTTTGTTTGATGTATTTTTTTTTCCCCGTTTGTTCAGGACAATGTTTACAATTTCCTACCCATTAATATTTTAAAATGTATAATGTATTTAAGTAGCAACTCCATTAACTTTCATTTGCACATGTTGCTACAGATGCCAATGAGACCAGTACCAAGCTACATCCAGAGGCCAGATTATGCAGATCATCCTTTAGGTAAATTTTTATCAAAAGTGTGTGTATTTTTGTTTTTTTTTTGGGGGGGGGGGGGTTGTACATGGAAAGAATATTGAAAACATCCTGCACATCTGGTTTTATCAGGAAAAAATATTTCCCGTTCATTCAAAAATAAAACCCTTGAGTAAAAGAATGATTGTACTTTTTGTTACTTTAATGTAATATTGCATGTTTCATGTTTCAATAATGTAGAATTAAGAAAGGAAACAATAGAGAGAATTTGCATTTTTGACTTGGAGCTTTAACAATCCACTTTAATTGACAGCAATAACTTTTCTCTTTTTCTCTCTCCTTTTAGGAATGTCAGAATCTGAACAATCCTTGAAAGGTACCTCCCAAATAAAAGTACTTTCTCCAGAAGATATAGAAGGGATGCGGGTTGTGTGTAGGGTGAGTATGCAACTTTATTTCAACCTTTTATGGTTATTTACTAAAGAGAATATCAAAATTAAGTTCAAAATAACTAAACTGAAAAAAAATCTATCTGCTATGCTTTCAGTTTGGCTACTCTGGTCTTAAATATGAAATTCTCTATAAATTTTCACTTTAGTAAATGACTCTAAATGTGTTTTTTTGTTTTGTTGTTTTTTTTTTTATTTAATTTTTTTTATACCTTATTCTACAGAATTGAGCTAGCTAAGGAAGTGTTTTGCTATATACAATTTGCTCAAAATAGTGTTTTGCAATATTTATTGCGCTCAAAGTAGTGTAGACTCGTTACTGATTAGCCTGGCAGTGACTTTTTTTGGGACCATTCTACTGATTTTAAGGACCACTATAGGGTCAGGAACACAAACATGTATTCCTGCCCCTGTAGTGTTAAAACCACCATTTAGGTTGCTTGTCCCCCCCTTAAAAGGTAAGAAAACTATTTCCATTGCCATGCAGATCTGCTTGCCCTGGCCCTGATCTGCCTCCTCGGCTGACATCAGCAGAATCCCATGGGAAAAGCATTGGATTGGCTGAGATCATCAGTGAGGCCGGGCGGAATTAATTATTCTCTATGAGGAAAGTTCAGTTTCTTCATGCAGAGGGTGGAGACACTGAATGCCAGTACTGCAGCACTACCCCAGAAGCACCTCTAGTAGCCATCTGAGGAGTTGCCACTGGATGTGCGGCTAGGATGTAATGTAAACACTGCTTTTTCTCTGAAAAGGCAGTGTTTACAGTAAAAAGCCTGCAATAATAATGTAAAACAGTAATCTGATGTGACATAACCTCAATAAAATGCTTCCTGTAAATTGGGCACAATATCATTTACATTTCAGGACATATCTACCTATAAAAGTATTTTCTAAATTATTTTGATGTGTATAAATTTAACTGTTTTGTTTCATGTAGGCTAGATGTACCATTTTGGTACATTTCTTAGACGTGGAGTGCTTCTTTTCTTTATTTAACATGTCTAGTAGTATTTGGAAGTGAGGGTGGGGGGATTTGTTTTAAAAACTGTTCTGCGTTTATAGTAGGCTACATCATGCTTTCCAATTTACCTTGTTAAATGTTTCATCATCCTTACCACCACTGGCTTTCTATTTTTTTGGGATGTAACTCCTTGTACTCTGAAGTAGCAGGTCTGCCAGCAACAGATAGTTATGAGTACTCTACCATGGAGTTGGTGGATGATCAATGAGCCTAAGTGAATAGTAGTTGTAACGGATCCCAATACTCCAGCTGAGTATATCCAGGAAGAATCTCCCAAGTCCCAAGCGCAGTAGGGGTTATAGTAGTGAATATAGCTCCCAATCCCCCAAACATTAGCCTAGACTTAATCAAGGGGTAAAACGATCGGCTGAAACAGGGTCATACTCCTGAGCCAGTGCACCTTGTAATCTCCACTGGAACTCCTCCTCATATGGGGACGCTGCCCGGGTGCTAGCTCGCGCCATCTCCTGAGTTTTTCTTTATAGAGGGGTGCTGCTGCACTCACTGCTTTCCCTCGTTTGGAATATCCATTTGGAAGAAAAATCCCACCGCTTGCCACCAATGTAATGGATCTCAATACTCCAGCTGAATATATCCATGAAGAATCTTCCAAGTCCCAAGCGCAGTAGTGGTTATAGTGGTGAATATAGCTCCCAATCCCCCAAACATTAGCCTAGACTTAAGGAAGGGGTAAAATAAATCTGTTTAACCCAGGCTCAATGGCCTGCTTTTATACAATACAGGGACACAGTAAACACGCCCATGACACTCCCATAAACACACCCACAAAATGTCATGTCACCATGGCTAAGCATAAAATGATAAATTATAGAAAACACACAAAAATACGTATTTCCATAGATGAACCCCCATAGTTTATACATCACCCGGATAGCCTTGATCTGAGCGCCCAACGTATTCGAAAAGCGCTCAGATCCCACGAACACAGCCGAAATGCCCCCATGTGGAAGTTCTGAGCGGACGCACACATGGTCCTATGCCAGTTCCAGGGTGTTCCTTAATCTATTAATATATTCCTTAATCAAGAATTACGAAGTTAAATATTATTCAGCTGATCAAACACCTAACGTGCCTCTTAAAACCACACAAAGGCAAGCTAAATAATTTCAGACAAGGTGAAACGCTAACGCAACCATGCTTACTTATAATGGATACCTCTATAATTCACAAATTACCTCTATAAAGTGACTTGTGCAAAAAAAATAAAATCCCATAAGTGGTCCAAAAAGTGTATTCAGTAAAGTGCAATATGAATACAAAAACCTTCACATAAGTGTTCTTAAATTCAAAGTGCATTTAATAGAGTGCCCTCTGCCTATCCAGCAAATGCAGTGTAAATGTGTCTCTTCTTGCAAAATCATACTACCTATGCAAATAATACATATGCTGAAATGAATGTATTATGTAATTTGTAGGGCTGAGTAAAAATGTTGTTATCTACCCTTCCTTCCAAAATGTTATCTCTTTGTCAGCACAAATGATCATAATCTGGAAGTTTTGCTGAGTAGTATAGGGACTGTTAAAACTCCAGAGAGAGATCAACAAATGAAAATACACGTCATTACTTAACCATAACATTTATATATTTTTTCATTAGAATGTTTTGTAACGCATTTTTATTTTTCAAATTTTCAGCTTGCTAGAGAGGTGTTGGGAGTGGCTGAGTTGATGATTAGATCTGGGGTAACTACAGAAGAAATAGACCATGCAGTGCACTTGGTAAGTAGTTACCATTTTTCTTATTTGACCTCAAAATCATTGATTGATTAAAAATAAATCAAAACTGAACATGTATTATTGGGTTTTATAGTTTGAAATATTTGAATAAAGTTACATACTGAATTTTGGCAACATTTCAAGGATTATACAGACAACCATGCAAGCTTATATGCACAAAGGGATATATTTGGGTTAGTTATTATTATTATTATTATTATTGCCATTTGTATAGTGCCAACAGATTCTGCAGTGCTTTACAATATTATGAGAGGAGGGATTTAACTAAAAATAGGACAATTGCAAGAAAACTTACTGGAACGATAGGTTGGACAAGCTCCCTGGTAGCATCTTGCGTAAGAAAGGGGCGGATGCGGGCTATGTTGTTAAGATGGAATCTACAGGATTTGGCAACATACTGAATGTGAGGCTCAAAGGTGAGACCAGAATAAAGTATGATGCAAAGACCGCGCGCTTGCAAGGATGGACTTATGTGGATACCACTAACTTGAAAGGAGAACGAAAGAGAAGGATCAGTATTAGGAGGAGGGAAGACAAGGAGCTCTGTTTTAGAGGGATTGAGTTTCAGAAAGCAGGAGGACATCCAGTCAGAGATGGAAGAAAGGCAAGCAGTGACACGTTGCAGGACGGCATGGGAGAGGTCCGGGGAAGAGAGAGATATCTGGGTGTCATCAGCATACAGGTGGTAGTGGAATCCAAAAGAGGTAATATGTTTGCCAAGGCAGTATGAAGAGAAAAGGACACCAAGGACAGCTCCTTGGGGGACTCCAGCCGAGGGGAGGAGGTATCATTAGAAAAGGAGACACTGAATGAACGTTAGGGGAGAGAGAAGAGGAAAACCACAAGAGGACAGTCACAGAGACCGAGTGATTGAAGAGTTTGAAGAAGGAGAGCATGATCAATGGTGTCAAAGGCAGCAGAAAGGTCAAGAAGAATTAGTATGCAGTAGTGGCCTTTAGATTTAGCTGCGATTAGGTCATTAGTAACTTTGGTAAGAGCAGTCTCAGTAGAGTGGAGAGGGTCAAGGAGAGAGTTGAAATTGAGGAAGTGAGACATACGGGTAAAGACAAACCTTTCCAGAAGGAAAAAGAGAGCAGGGATATGGGACGATAGTTAGAGGGGCAAGGCGGGTCAAGAGATGTTTTTTTTGGGGGTTTTTTCAGGATAGGTACTACAGTGTCATGTTTAAGGGCAGCAGGGACAACACCAGAAGAGAGAGCCGTTGGATATGTGTGTTAAGGAAGGCACAAGATAAGGGGATAGAGATCTGATGAGGTAAGATGGGACAGAATCAAGCAGGCAAGTGGTGGGGCGAGAGGAAAGGAGAAGCACAGCCACCTTTTGTTCTGTAGCCGTGGAGATAGTCTGAAGGTTAGGAAAGGCATGATTGGGTGGGAGAATTGGCCCACAGTGATAGCCCGAGGGAGGAAGTAATTGAACGTTTAGAGGCTGCTGAGGTCAAAGGTGGGTTAATGTGAATACTGAAGTCTCTGAGAATTAGGGATGGAATATTAGAAGAGAGGATTAGGTTAGCCTAAAGTGGTCAAGGAAGAGGAGAGGGGAACCAGGGGGGCGATAAATAACGGCAATGTTAGCAGAGAAGAGTTTGAAAAAGGTGAATCAAATTAATTTCAAATGATGGGAAGGGGTGGGTAGAGGTTTGAAGGAGCAGTGAGGTGAGAAGAGAAACCCTACACCACTGCCATTACATTCAGAGTGACTTGGGTTGTGGGTAAATAAAAGACCACCAAAGGACAAAGATGCAGGGGTAGCAGTGTCAGAGGGGGAAAGCCATGTTTCTGTTAAGGCTACTAAATCTAGGGAACGAGAGATTAAGAGGTTGTGGACAGCAGTGAATTTTGTAATATTGCAAGCAGAGCGTGCATTCCAGAGGGCAGTATTGAAGGAGGATTTAGAGAAGGAGTAACATGAGATGGGTATGAGATTGGTGTGGTTCCTTGAGTTAGTACGTGGTGGGTTTGCCGAGATGGGACCGGGGTTTGGAGAGACATCACCAGCTGCTTGGAGCAGAAGGATAGAAAGGAAGTGAACATGGGAGTAGGATTTGAAAGTTTTGTAGGAGGGTATGTATATAGGGGATTTGGGAGGAGTTGAGAGAGAGAGAGAGAGGCTGGAAAGGTATATGTAGATTGCATGGGATAAATAGAGGGGAGTAAAGTGGAAGTAATGAAGATGGTGTTGCCAGGAACTGGTGAGCAGTAGGATAGGGATATTTTAGTAATGAGAGAAGTTAGTGTGAAAGTGAAAAATAGAAGGGAGAGCATTTATAGGAAATGTGTTTTGTTATATAGATATGAAGATTATACATATGCACATATAGAATACCTATGTGTGTATATATGAGTATGAACCATGGTTAAGGATGCAGTTTAACAGAGGGATTTCAGGTGAGGAGAGGTTTAGTGACTTGGTTAGTTAATAGTTTCTTGTTATGCTATTGAATTGGGACATGGTTTATAACATTGGACATACTCTGCATTTTCCAGAATTAGGGATGTCCAATTAGGCAGGATTTTCTGCTGATACAAGTATTTACAGACTAGTCTAGATGCATACTTATAGACTTGGCATAAAATAACCTTTTTAATCAGAATTAAATTAAAGCATAGGTAACCATTCCCTTTTAAGAACATTTAAAGCCGCTCTCTTACCAACTTGTTACTATGGCTATATAATAAAGATAAATCTGACTGCCTTGAAATGAAAGACTATGAAAAGAATACAAGACAAAGTAAGGACTATGTTTTACAGTCAAAGCTTTGATTAGTAAAAGACTGAGCTTCTGAGGTCAGGTTTTGTCAGTCTCTCTCCAGCCTCCATAATAGAAGGGGACATGTTATTTGCAAACAACCTTATAGGTAACATAGCCTTTTAAAGGAACACTAGAGAGTCAGAAATACAAACATTTATTGCTGACACTATAATTTTGAAACCGCAGTTTTGGTCCCCTGCTTCACAAAACTCACACTTTTTCAGTGCTGCATAAGTCTGTCATTGCTGGCTCCACCCTTGCTTGATCTCCACCAATCCAATGGTTTCCAAAACGCAGCACTAATCATCTCCTCCTTCTATAGATGCATTGAATCAATCCATCTCGGAGAAATGTTCATTGTCTTCATGCAAAGCATGGAGGCACTGACTGTCAGTGGTGCACATTGTCTGAATGACTACCACTGGAGGTGTTCCTAGGCAGTAGTGTAAACACTGCCTTTTGCATGGACAGGCAGTAGACACCAGAACAACTACATTAAGCTGTAGTTGTTCTGGTGACTATAGTGTACCTTTCATTAAACTCAAAGTTGGTGATCATAGTTAAATAGGTTAATTTATTTCATGCGGTGAAGGTGTCTGTAAGTGTTATTATCTTGCATGACAATATTATTTTAACAGATGAAATTCAATTACTTGAATTAGTCAACCTATCTAGAGAATGGTTTTCCTATTTCAGTTCTGTGGTTTAATAATAAAAGATTGTTGGTCCTTTAAAGTGTTGTCGATTGTTGGCTTGTCACTGGTTAGAACATAATTCAAAACACTCATCTGGATTCAAAAATAGTACTTTGTAATACCTTTTTCTTAGTAATGTATTTTTTTTTATTTTTTGTTTTTCTCGGGGCTGCCCAAAGTGAGGTTACAAGATAGAAAACCTGTAACACTGACATAGAGATCCCAAACTAAGAATTTTCATAAAGAACCATTATTAACCATTTCTGCAGATCCAGGTGGATGGCAATGTTTCATGCCTCTCTACCTTTCTTACCTCCTACTTTTGGGGCGTTAATGTTTTGAAGCTGAATTTGGAAATTCTGAGTCTTTACAGAATACAACAAAAAAAGGACCTAGACTTACACCTAACAATATCATTGTGATCTTGCAACAGACATAATAAACAGCTACATTTTCATAAAGATCTGAACTCTTGTTAAATTTTTGCCTTCCTATGGGATTGAACAATACATAAATTATAATTCGGCATCCCAGAATTACATGGTGTTTGTATTTTTTATTTGTTCATTTAGGAATATTCTTTTCTACACTAGTACATTGTTATGCTTTTGTTTTAGATTACATTTATGATTGCTAACCAAAACACCAAAATTCTGTCATGCACATATATTGGTTTATGCCTTGTAGATGCATAAACTATAATACAATCATGCAGGGATTAATTTACTATTGTTGTTTTAGGCATGTATTTCAAGGAATTGCTACCCTTCCCCTTTGAACTATTACAACTTTCCGAAATCTTGCTGCACGTCTGTGAATGAAGTAATTTGTCATGGAATTCCAGACAGAAGGCCTTTGCAAGATGGAGATATTGTTAATGGTAAGAAATACTGCATTATAAGCTGAGAGGTTGATTATATGTACTATAAGGTCATGTATAGTTATTCTTGGTAACGTGAGACATCAAATCATAATAGGAATATTTACAATTAACCATAAACCTGAACTTATTTTCAGGGAATTTATTTTAACACCACAAGTTCAGTGTCTAGGCACTGTAGTCACTTCATCTGGCTCCATTCTTCCATTCAGTTTTTAATGTTTTGATCCTAAACAAGAGTCCACAGCAGCCCGCCTCCCCTCTGTGCTGTTCAGGTTAATGAGGAATCATTTTCCTGAGCTACAGTCGACAGCAGTGATCGGCTAAAACTCTCAGCCTATCACAGCTGGTATGTTTTGGTATGGCACGGGAGAGTGTAATCTTTATGGCATCCATCATTTTATAACATGTGGGTGCATGGCATGGTAGGAACTGCAGAATGCCTTGTGCCGGTGTCTGTGGACACCTCTGCATGATACCTTGGTGACCACATTTATCACCTGCTTTTAAACAGCACTAGGCATCCTCTGAGGCAGTGAGGGTCCATGGCATGTATAATTTGTACCCATGGCATGTATAACTTGTACTGACCAATGGCTAGTGACCATTAGTAGGGGGAAATCTTGAGCCTTGTTATTGGGATTACTTACTAAACTGTGAATCCTCTGGAATTCATTGCCACATTGCAAATCAACTGTTTGCTACATGTTTTACATTTGCATTTACTTTGTGAATTCCCAGCAGTTCTTGAATTAGTAAATAACCCTGTTTTTTCCAGAAAGATATAAAAAAAAGACAATTTCTAAAAGTGTAAAAAATAAATAAAAAGTCAACTAATTCTACATTTTGTAGAGGTATTGTTGTCCAGACAAAAAAGGCTAAGAACTAGCTTTGTAATGGTCTTTCCCTATTATCCTAAAAACTCAACTGCATAGTAGGATATTTGCTTTTGAAAACATGCCCTGTCAAGTTTTTGCCCAAAATGTGTGCAAAACAAGCATTTATGAAGATCTTACATTTGCAATTATTGCCTGCCTGAAAGTTACTTTTACTCTGCTTAAAGGGACACTATAGTCAACTGAACAACTAAAGCTTAGTGAGGTTGTTCAGGTGAGTGCTACAGCTCCCTGCAGCCTTTTTCTTGTAAGTGTTTACATTGGAAGCTTGGAACACCTCTAGTTGCAGTCAATCAGACGGCCACCAGAGGGACTTCAGAGTTCAGAAGCCCTAAAAAGGCTTCATTCACGTCTGACGTATTCACACATGGGTGAATGCGTCAGACGTGCTATCAGCACACAGAGCACTGTGAACGCGCTTTGTGTGCGGAGGCTGTCAGCACTGCGTGGGAGTGGCTTGAGCTGACAGGTCTGACAGGCTGAACACCGAAGAGGAGGAGGGGAGGACTCAAACTGTAAGTAAACTTATTTAGTGAGGGTGAGTGGGTGAGGATGGATATGGATGGATGGATTTTGGGATGGATATGGATGATGGGAGTGGATGGATATGGATGATGGGAGTGGATGGATTTGGGGATGGATGATGGGAGTGGATGGATTTGAAGATGGATGATGGGAGTGGATGGATTTGGGGATGGATATGGATGATGGGAGTGGATGGAGGGATATGGGTGATGGGAGTGGATGGATTGGGGATGGATATGGATGATGGGAGTGGATGGATGGATATGGATGATGGGAGGGGATGGATGGATATGGATGATGGGAGTGGATGGATATCGATCGGGATGGAGAGTGTGTGTGTGTATGTCTTTAATTTTTTACTACTTGTGTGTTTGCATAGAAACACTATATATAGAGAGATCTCTATAAATAGTGTTTCTATGCAAACACAGTTTTGCTAAGGAGGGGGGCGGGTATAGAAAGCGAGCTGAGCTGTCAGTCAGACAGCTCAGCTCGCGAACGCGCATTCCGCTCACATGCGCGGTAGGGGCGCTGAGTTCATTCATAGGGCGGCATCCAATGCCACTCTATGAAGAACGCGATTGGTGCAGCGTGAAGCCGCGCATGCGCACTGGATCGCGATGACGCTTCACTGAGAGAAGCGTCTGAGCCCTGCGATTTCTGCATTTTGATGAAAAAGTGGGCGCGGTATGGCTGGGAGCTCGGCGCTGCAACGGAGGTAAGTCTTTATTATATAAAAGCCTCGAAAATTTGTTTTATTAAATGAAAGTTCATATAAAAGCAAGAAGGAAGTCTGGGGGACCTGTCTTTCTTGCTTTTATATGTAGACTGTAGTGTCCCTTTAATTTTTAGTTGGGCATTTGGGTTTTTCTTCTTAGGTAGGAAACTCTTCTTTTACAGTTTCCACAAACACTGCACTGTTTTTACATCCATTATCTAGACAAGAGATCTGGCTAGTCGGCGATATTGTTAAATTTTAATTTTTACTCTCATTTTTCTTTTAGAGAGAGAGTGTGTGTATGTATATGTGTGTGTTTGTTTATATATATATATATATATAATATAATATGACTGCATTGCTCAGTATAAAAGCCAGCCACAACCTCCCTGGATTTATAAATTTTAGTCCCTAAGTAGTTTTACCTCTATCATTCAATCTGGACTGACCATGGAGGTTTTTTCCCCTCCTAATTTACAGCACTTTCAGAAGCACTCATAATGGATAGGTATGTACACTATTGTTAGTCTGCTTGCATTGCCCTCCCAATCTTTGCGATTATCTGCATAACTGCTGTAAATGACACAATCCACATTTTCACCACCTACACATCACCGTTTCCACCCCATGATAACTGTTAAAGGAACACTAAAGTCACCAAAACAACTTTAGCTTAATGAAGCCATTGTGGTGTATAGATCATGCCCCTGCAGTCTCACTGCTCAGTTCTCTGCCATTTCAAAGTTAATCACTTAGTTTACATAGCCCTAGTCACACCTCCCTTCATGTGACTTGTTCAGCCTTCCTAAACACTTCCTGTTAAGAGTCATCTAATACTTACACTTCCTTTATTGCACGGTCTGGTTAATAATTTAGAATGTTTTATCTACTGCACTGTTAATAGCTTGCTAGACCCTACAGGAGCCTCTTGTATGTTATTAAAGTTCATTTTACAGAGCAGGAGATAACTTTTAAAGTAAGTTACAATTGATTGAAAATGAAACCATTTTTTTCATGCAGGCTGTGTGAGTCACAACCAGGGGAGGTGTGGCTAGGGCTGTATGGACAAAAATAAAAGTGGTCTTACTCCTAAGTGGCAGAGAATTTCAGCAGTGTGACGTCAGGGGCATGATCTATACTCCAAAACTGCTTCATTAAGAAAAAGTTGTTTTGGTGACTATAGTGTCTTTTAAAATTCTCTAAAAATAGTTACCTTCTAGGATTGGCAAACTGCTTCCAGGTAAATGTTAGCAATGTAATCTCAGATACTAATTTAATAACTGGTTTTGGTGTCTTTGGGGTTTATTTTCTGAAATATGAAATGTAGCAAATTGAAATTCATAACTCAACATTAATGCTAATTTAGCTAAGCTGTGCCTATATCGAAATTTAAAACTTTTTCTGAATTTGCTATTTTTGCATGAACTTTACAATCTAAAGTTTCAGTTCACTACGATTCTGAGTATTAGGAATTATTCTTATTATATGTGTTATAACACTTCTAGGAGTGTAAGAAAAATAATCCCACAATGCACATCTTATCATGCAGCACAGTGCTTGCTATTACCCTTCCTTCTGCTCTTAGTCTTGCTGCAATTTTAGATACAAGTGAAAAACCTACATCTAAGACATATTTATTGCTCACTATGTCTCTATATTCTGATTGTATAAGACTTAAATAGTATTACGGAGGCTTGTATTACCAAATGTATTACTGTTTTAAAATCTTTATTGTATCCCTTTAATCACATTAAACACACCAAAAAGACTAACTTGGTATTTACTTATCTTTAAAAATAAAATAAAAATTAAATTATATAATTTTGTTTTTTTTCAGTGGATATTACGGTTTATCGCAACGGGTACCATGGAGACCTCAATGAAACTTTTTATGTTGGTGATATGGACGAAGGAGCCAAAAGACTTGTTCAGACGACCTATGAATGCTTAATGCAAGCTATTGATGAAGGTGAGGGCTATTCTGGCTTCTGATTCCTTTGAAGTTAGTCTTTTTAAACAGAATAGAAACCTCAAATGTATCTTCCTGGAAATCATTATTTTCAAAAAAGAAAATGACATGACAATTGTAAAATTCAAAATAATTTCTTTGGAAGCTCCTGTTGTGTATTTGTCCGTTCATCTCTGCTTGTATTTATATTGCCATGTGTCATATATAGGCAGTAAACATATAAAAAAAAAAAAAAAAAACAATGTAAATAGCCTTTCCGTGCTACTCTCATAAGAAGTGGGTGATATCTCAAATTACACGTTGTGAGATAGATTGGCCTGTTTAATGTAATATAAGTCATTTATGGAGTAATTTGAATTTGTAAACTTGATGCACAAAAATTATACTTGGATCTAGAATCAATATTACAACCTGGAAATCATGAAATGGCTCTAATTTAACCCTGTAACTTTTTTAAAACGTTGCAGCGGTGTATACGTGATACTGCTGTACTTATGAGATGAAACTGGGATCATGAATGTTTCTTTTTCTCTCTACTGTAGCACATATTAATTTAAGAGATGCAATACACATATGCATACATGAAAAGTAATACATTAATGGGTCACTCTAAGCTCTAAACTAGTTCATCCTATTGAAGTGGTTATGGTGCCAAGACCATGTCCATGCAGTTGTTTTTTTTTTTCATGTGCATAGAGCCACCTCCCTTGGCTGGAATACAGTCTATCCGGTAGGCAGTATCCATTTTGTGCAACTTTTGTGTCTGTCAGTACACAATGCATGCTCACAACAGACACATTGGACAGAATTCCTTTGGCTGTGTTAGATGCACACGCAGAGTCATAGCTTCTGCTGCCCTGCTTACAGGCAATATAACTGTCTGATAAAGAAAAAGACGTAGCGCAGTGCAGCCTCTGCCATGTCTTGGTCTGGAGGTCCAAGGGGAAAATAAAAGGCTACTTTGCTGGGAATTTATGTGCCATGGACCACAACTCATCATTTTCAGTGAAACAATGGCTCTGGCTGGTGGGAGTTAAAATATACATCTGATACAATAGGGTACTTGACACACCCACCCACAACCACACCACCCCCCATCCCCCCTCTCACACACACACACACACACCCCTTTTGAATCCTTTTAAATGCAAATACTTTTTATTTTGTGAAGGCTGTTATGTTTTGGGTTTTTTTTTGGACTAGCCGCCCCTTTAGCATGAATAAAATGTGGTTGACCTTATCGAATAAGTTTGATCCTTGCTTGAAATGTGCCTTTTAATTTAGAATACAAGACTAACACACTTTATATTAACCGTCTTTCCCCCAAACCTTCCCTCTCTTTCCCAGTGAAACCTGGTGTCCGATATCGAGAGTTGGGGAACATTATTCAGAAACATGCCCAAGCAAATGGATTTTCTGTTGTTCGAAGCTACTGCGGACATGGTATACACAAACTTTTCCACACAGCTCCCAATGTGCCACATTATGCCAGTAAGTTTGCCATAAAATGAGTATACTGTTTTAAATTAAATATTCTTAATCTTTAAATGCATGTTTAATGGACATATGGAAAGATGGTACAATGCATGTTATTAGGGATGTTGTTGACAGTGGAATAGATACTCGAGTAGAGTCATTTGTCTGTTTTACAGGCTTAGTATAAAAGCGTTGTCACAAAGTGTTTTCCTTCTCACCATGCATTCTTATATAGTTGTAATATTCTCAATTCGCAAGGAACATCAGGCAGTAAGTATGGCCTTGCCCCTTTAATCCTCAATTGTAAACCTTTTATTTTTTTGGAAACTACAATGTTTACATTGCAGGGTTAAATACAACAAAACTTTGTCACATGATGTGAAAACCCACATTGAATACAGTGCTTTGCTATGAGGAAGCTTGAATTCATGTGTGGCATTCGCCATGCATTCACACCAGGTCCTTAATTCTCCTTTATGAGGAGCCTTGGATCGGTCCATTGCAGGTGAGGTGATGCCTCCTCAATGAGGTTTCTGGACATTTTATTAATTATGTATGGCAAATGGTGCTGGACAGGAGCACTATAGGAATACAGGTTTGTATATATAACGCTATAAACAAGCACGTCAGGTGCAAACACCTAATCTCATCCCCTGTCACCATCATACCAGTTTAATCATTATCAAATGGTTTAACGCTAAAGTAGTGTCCATAGTTGCCTTATCACTGATGAGCTTCAAGAACAAAACAATCGGGTACATTTGTTCCAAAGCTTAGAAAATTTACGCTTTTAAAAGGGGGGTAGTCTTTGTTACGGGTTACTCAATCTCATCTGTCCCTGAGTGACAATGAGAGGAAATGTGAAGAAACTAGGAACTGCACAAAGCTTACCATCTTATTGATGAAATGTAATGCTAAAGTTAGGGCTTTGACATTTATGTTTACCGGTGGAACTACCTAACTTGTGTTTGATGATAGGAGTATATATGGCCACATCATGCTATATTCCACAGTGCTGAGAAAACCATCTTCTCCCATATCACAAAATGTCTCAAATTGACCTTGGAAGATACTTAACCTTGCAATAGGACATGGACTACAAACATGCCGTTTAAAAGTATCCTACAGGTTCTAGACCAAAACCAAAAGTGTTCTTGAAGGACCAAGTCGGTCATCTGAGCTCATTAGAAATTAGTTTGTTTCACTTGCTGATGACAAGAGGGAAGAAGATAACAAATTATCCTTCTGATCAGGAAAGGTTGATGACTGCAGTATACGCATGTCAAAGTCTTCAGTCAATTACTGAATGCAAGTAGTTGCTATGCTGACTAAGAATTGTTTCTAAAAAAATTTGTTGGGTTGAGTTTTTTTATACTTGCAAAAAAAAAGACTGTAGCCATTATACAATTCTTGCTTTAGATATAAAAGTACACTCAGATTATATCTGTGTACAGGTCATCCTTTTAGAAATGCTTATTTCAGTTGGAAGAGAGACAAAATAATTGTTACGGGTATCATAAAAGTCTAAGTGCAAAATAGTTACTGAAACCCAAAATAGTTAACCAATTTCTGTTAACTCCACTTTTTTTGTGTGAAATGGGGACTTCGGCAATTTTGCTTAATGCATACTTGATGGACCACTCTATCACTGGCTATCATTAACCCCTTAAGGACAGAGGCAATTGTCCACATTCTGAAACCATAAAAAAAACAAAAACTTGAATTTAAGCTATAGGTTTGTTCCACCATAATTTAAGGGTTTTTACTCCATTACCCCCATACATATTATCTATTGTTTGTTAAAAGACACAAAGGGCTTTCATTTAATATACTTTATGTATACCGAACACAACATTACATGTGACTAAAATGTGGGAAAGACCCAAAAGTTTTCACATTTCTACTTATTTGTACACACCCAGTGCAACTAATTAACAAGAACTCAAAATAGTTTCACATATCAGTCCTGATTGTTAGATACCTAATATGTTTAGGATCTAAATTAATGTTTGATAATTAACACTAACCTTGTACAAACCATAACCCTTATCCACACTAATTCTAACTGTATGCCTACCCTAATCTTACCCTTAATATCAACGCTACACTCTCTTCACCCATGAACTTGGATTAACCCATACCAAGCATTACCTTGACCCAACCCTACTCTTACCCCTATATCTAACCAAATCCTATCCCTACGACCAACCATAGTAATATGGTAGCCCACTACTAACTTAAAATAATTAAAATCTAAATGGGTTTTACTATTTAACACAGTGGTCGTATGATGCCACCATCTAATGGCCATTTTCAGAATAACACTTGTGAATTCATTCTTTTCAAATGTTTTTTATTAATGGTTTTATATTTTTACATCAATATATGCAGTACTTTTATATTGAATACATACAAGACAAAATTGTATATGTAATATGAAGATGCATACATCAAATGTACAAGAAGAGTACAAACAAAACAAAAAAATGTGTTTATAGTAACAGGGGCGTACCTGGAGCATCTGGCACCCGGGGTGGACCCTGTGTTTGGTACCCCCCTCTTTAAAATGTAAAAAACACCCATAAGTTGTGTTTTTTGTTTTTTTTTAAATGTAAACTGTATATCAACTTGAAAAAAAAAAAACCCTAGCCATCAAATTCATACTGCCCTTCATATAACAACCCTGCACCCCCCCCCACACATAAAAATCCTGCACCCCCTATACATCAAATTAATATAAAAATACACTTAGAATGACGTTAATTATATATATATATTTCCACGATCCCAGCACTCTAGTACCTGGTCTTTAACCACTTAGTGACCAAACCCTTTTTAAATTTTCTTACCGTTTATGTTTAGCTGTAATTTTCCTCTTACACACATTATATACCGTTTTTCTTGCCATTAAATGGTC